TCTTCCAGCCGTTCTTAGCCTGCAGGTATATGTTGAAGTATGCGTGGAGACACATCATGCACGCGCGGATCTTGCTACCCGCCTCGAACATCATAGTGTACGCGCCGTTCCCGAACATGATCACGCCGAACACGAACTCGATCACGTTCCCGGTGGAGCGCACGTAGTACACGTAATCGTCCAGCTTCTCCCAGAGCACGTTGTAGAACCCGTCGATCATGAAGAGCGCGTAGACGGTTAGCGACACTAGCACTTTCAGGCAGAGCTCCACGCAGAACGCGGTGACGGCGAACAGCCACGTGTTTAGCACGAACTGATGCCAGAGCACGTAGCTGAGCAGCACGGGCAGCGCGAACAGAGCTAGCGACACTAGCAGGACGGGAACATGTCTGCGCACTGAGGAGACGTGCGACGCGCTGAGAGACATTAGCACCGGATCCGTCATGCCGTGGATGAAGTGCAGGATAGCCGTTAGCAAGAGGCACATGTTCCTGCTTAGCCGCACTAGCCGCTCCTCGGGAATCAATCCGCTTAATCCAGTTTGCAGTGCGAGGATGAAGAACAACACAGGCGCTACGAAGCCTAACCGCTTATCCTCCTCCTCGGTTGAGCCGATGAACGCTAGGATGCTAAGCCCGAGGTAGTGCGCGAGCGAGGAGATGACGGCGCTCATACCAAGCACGGTTAGCGTGGAGTCGCAGCCGCTGATGATGAGGTTGCCGAGCAAATCCCAGAACACGTCCCATCCTAGCGGAAGCCCGCTTTCGGAGCGCACTACCCGCACCACGTACGCTAGGATTACGGCCTGCGCGGTCATGCGCGTTAGCCAGAACACGCGCAGTATGTCCGGGAAGCGTATGCGCTTCCACGTGTCCTCGAGCAGCAGCTGCAAGCCGTAGATGCGGTACATGTGGCGTAGCAGTAAGTAGACGTAGCGGCACGAGTAGTAGAACCACTTGAGCTTTAGCAGGAGGTTAACGGCGGAGTGCGCCGCTAGAACTGCTCCGGACGCCAGCGCTAACGTCTTCCGTGCGTCCGCCGGCAGCTCCGCCGCCATCCCACACAGTGGTGCCATGATGTCCGCCACCAGCAGGGCGGCGCAGAGCGACTGCACGTTCAGCAGCGCCACGTACCCCAGTCCTAGCAGTAGCTGCAACAGCGCTATCGCTAGCCAGAGCGTCGGCCCGTTACGCAGCGGCAGCAGCGCCACCGCCGGAGACGTGCCGTAGTAGTTGAGCAAAACCGAGGCCGCGCCCAGCAGAACGCCCGCCACCAGGGTGTAGAACTTGAACAGGGACTTCTGGGAAAGCACCAGAACCACACCGGAGACCAGAATACCTGCAAAACACGGAGGGCATGAAAACTGACGCGCTACACACAACATGCTAATGCTACACATCAATATTCACTTGGTGATGATGCCTCACATTCAGTTTTGCAAGAGAACATATAGTCACTTCAATAGGAATCCGCATGATTTTACACAAATTTCACAGTTTGATTGGCTATATTTAGGGCCCTATGATGCGGAAAAGTGTGTGTGAATGTAAACCGCAAAAACACTATTCAAATATGAATCCTGCATTAACACACACACACAAAATAAAATATGAATCCTGCATGTTCAAAACATTTTTCTACCATGTTTTAATTTTAACAGTAAATATCTGTTGTGCAGTTTGTTTAATTTTATATGATTAACAGTTAAATTAAATGAATGTTTTACGCCTTCATTTGATTGCCAGAAAAAATAAAATACACAACATTTCACAGAAATTAAAAGAAAAATATATTAAATTGTTTGTTTTTTTTAATTCAACTAATTAGACATGCTTTTTGATGACTAAAATGTAATTTAACCATTAGAATGGAGTAGCAATTCAACTGAATTTCGGATATTTGGAATGTCAATTCTCTCTGAACTAATGCTGTAAACTATTCAGAAGTGTTAATAAAAATATATATATTTTTCAAGGTATCGTATCGAAGTCACAAACTCCAGTATCGTGACAACACTACAATACAGGAACCTGTAATATTACTGATTAAAATGAACAACTGATTTGCATACAAACATTTAAATGACAGTTTTAATGACATATTATGTTGTGTCGTCCAAAAATGTAAACATTTAAATGGTGGCTGTCATTTGCGTGATGGTTCATGAACACATTGTGATTATTATTTACATATTATTTATGACTCTCCCGTCATATGAATGGACGGACAGTTTGACAGCTTCTCTCACGTTATAAACACACGGAGATCAAAGCGCGTGATTAGGCTGTCACTCGGTTCAGCTTCCAGGCCCGGTTCGCGGATTTAAGCTCATTATCTCTGAATTAAACAGCAGAACCAGAACCTCAGCATTAGAACCCGCCCGATCGACCCAGATCCCGGTTTGACTGACTGACGGACTCACCCAGCGCGCGGATTAACGCTCTTCCGGCGGTTCCGCTCCATCCGGTACCGGGATCCGAGTATGAGTTGAATATCGCGTCGATTATAAAGATGCTCGGGACCCGCAGAGCCACATCCAGCACGGCCAGAAAGTGCTGACCCAGCCGCCCGTGAGCGGAGGCCATGGCGAGACGCCGCTGTCCGGGAACCGCAGGTTTCGGTGCTGTGACTCGGTTCGATGTCACGCAGGATCTCCACTGGTCGCCATTTTGGCTCGGCTGCTGTTGCTATGTGAGGAACGCGGAAGTGACTAAGCACATGCGCGCAGTGCAGAATACTACACGCCAGAGCCAGAGCGCACACTAATAAAATAATAAAACTCTGTTATTCATATGATTTCTGTTTATTTTTAATAATCACATACATATTTAAACAGAAACACCTTCAGATATATTTTTAAATTTACTATTTTAAAATATATTTTTAATTTATATATGATATCAATAACAACAAAATAAAAATGACACATTAACAGTTATGTTTTAATATTACAGCTTAAAAATGCATTTTAAGTTGAATTGCATTTTGCATATATTTGATATAATCATGAATATTCATGTATGAACTGTATATATCTATTCTTGTTATTATCTTATAGCGAATCTTAAAAGATGCACATCTTGTTATTTTAGTTTTTATTAATAATTTGAATTGGCCATTCTTTTTATATTGTCAGGATATAATTTTCTTTAATGTTATGTGCCTTCATTATCTTTAAAAAAAAACCCATTACTATTTATGTTTAATACATTTTTAATTTCAGGTTTAGTTATTTATTTCCAGTAAGTAATTGTAGTGCAACATTTCTAATCTTCGTGCAGTTTTTCATCGAGTATTTTATTTTATTTCAGCTTTATTTCAATTAAAATAAATGGCTTTATTTTAAAATTGCCTTCAGCTTGCTTAGTTGGGGACATTTAATTTAATATTCAGCAATATTATTGATCTCCTGCATTGACAGCATTATATGAGAACTGAACTGAGCTGGACGATGACATCACTGTTTCTCCAGAGCGGCTATATATATATATATTTATAAATGAACTAAATTAATAATTTTCTTACAACAGAAATGAAGCATCCCTGAACTGGCTTAAGCTGGACTGTGACACTATTCTCTTCTAGACACACACTCTGCTGCATTATTGTCCTGTTATCTCTGTAAAGCTGCTCTGACACACTCTGTGCTGTGAAGCGCTCTAGAACTAAAACTGACTGGACTTTAACAATAATAACCGTGTACAGTACACAGAGTTCCTGTCGCTTTTATTGTGCATCTTCAGTATAACAGACACACGTGTGAAAATGAAAGTCGTTCTCATGAACTGGTCTTGAAGAAGAGTCTCGTGGTGTTGTTGTGGATGGTTTCACTCAGGTCCAGTGGGTCTTCGTCCCGCACCGCCGCCAGAACCTCCAGAACCTGTCTGATAATCACAGTACACACACAGTTCAGTCATCATATCAGTGTGTGTGTGTGTGTGTGCGTGTGAGAGTGTGTGTGCGTGCACAAGTGAGTGAGTGAGTGAGTGAGTGAGTGTGTGTGTGTGTGTGAGAGTGTGTGTGTGTGTGAGAGTGTGTGTGTGTGTGTGTGTGTGTGTGTGTGTGTGTGTGTGTGTGTGTGTGTGTGTGTGTGAGTGAGTGAGTGAGTGAGTGTGTGTGTGTGTGTGTGTGTGTGTGTGTGTGAGAGTGTGTGTGTGTGTGAGAGTGCGTGTGTGCGTGGGAGAGTGTGTGTGCGTGCACAAGTGAGTGAGTGAGTGAGTGAGTGTGTGTGTGTGAGAGTGTGTGTGTGTGTGTGTGAGTGAGAGAGAGAGCGTGTGCGTGTGAGAGTGTGTGTGTGCGTGCACAAGTGAGTGAGTGAGTGAGTGAGTGAGTGAGTGAGTGTGCGCTGGCGCAGCGCGCGCGCGTGTTTGCGTGTGAGAGTGTGTATGTGTGTGTGTGTGTGTGTGTGTGTGTGTGTGCGCGCGTGTGAGAGTGTGTGTGCCTGTGCTCACCACAGACAGACTGTGACATACTAGAATTGCTCCAAGATTCAGCACCCAAGGATGACTTGCTGGAAAACCAGGACAGCATTTTACAGCCTCCAATAACACCAGAGAAACAGCCCCCTCCAGCCTCTACCCTCTCACCAGACACGTTATCCCTATCTCCAGCATATCCACAGCATCTTCTGTGCTTCTCAGAGAAAATGGAAAAACTTGCAAGCCCCCAGACATCAACCAAAAAACGGCAGGCCCCAAAACCACGAAAGCCTGCGGGCCCAGCTCGCTCTCCGCTTGTGAGAGCTCTTCGGCCTCTGCAAAAACGCCAGGGCTCACACCCTCCTCCATCGGCTCGAGGTGAACCAAAAACAACTGATACCAGCTCTCAGTGATATGTGCCGGGTCCCCGCTATGATAACAGTAACTTTCTCAAATGTTTACAGAACAAGCGGGAACCCAGTGTGCCTGTATCTTTCTCTATAGCTGCTCGATTACATGATAGAAAGTCTAAGGCCTTCAAAAGCCGTACAGCAAACCCATCTAATCTGGTGCCTATTACACGCCAAACTAAGACAAAAGTAACAAAAAGTAAGACTGTTAAGTTAGCACTTTTAAACATCTGCTCACTTAAAAATAAATCACTTCTAGTCAATGACTTAATAACCACATACAACCTGGACTTTATGCTTCTAAATTAAACTTGGCTAGAAGAAAGCTGCAGTGCAACAGTCCTCAATGAAACAGCCCCTCCTAACTTTACTTTTATGAGTGTCTGCAGAGCGGGTAAGAGAGGCGGAGGAGTAGCTGCTCTTTTTAAAGATGTCTATCAATGTAAGCAAACATCATTTGGGAATTACCCGTCTTTCGAATATCTCGGTATTGTGTTAAAAGGTGCTCCACGTATTTTACTTATCATTATTTACAGGCCTCCAAAATACTCTCCAGCCTTTGCTGAGGACTTTACAGAACTGTTATCAACAATTTCCTCAGAGTTTGACTGTTTTGCTATTACTGGAGATTTTAACATTCACATAGATAATGATACAAATATGGCAAAAGAAATCAAAATGTTTTAAAAACTTTTGATCTGACTCAGCATGTACATGGACCCACACACAATCGTGGACACACTCTAGATTTACTTATCAGTAAGGGTCTAAACATCTCATCGATTGTTATTAAGGATGTAGCACTGTCTGATCATTTCTGTATTTTCTTTGATATATTGATCTCTCCTGCCATTGAAACTAGATCTGTGTCTGTCAAGAAGAGATGCTTAAATGAGAACACTAGGGTGCTATTTATGAAGGCCATATCTTTAAAACCAAGCATATCTGCTGACTCTGTTGATTTTCTCCTTGATTCTTTTAACTCAAAGGTTAAAGGTGTAATAATAATAATAATTCATTACATTTATATAGCGCTTTTCTAGGCACTCAAAGCGCTTCACATGGAAGGGGGAATCTCCTCAACCACCACCAATGTGCAGCATCCACTTGGATGATGCGACGGCAGCCATAGTGCGCCAGAACGCTCACCACACACCAGCTTACTGGTGGAGAGGAGACAGAGTGATGAAGCCAATCAGTGTATATATATATGGGGATGATATTATATAGATTATATAATAGATTATATTGCTCCTGTGAAAGTCAGGAAGAGTGGTAGACAAAAAGCACCTTGGAGAAACTCAACAGCCTAGCAAAATATGAAAAGAACATGCAGAAAAACAGAGCGCATGTGGCGGAAGACAAAACTTGTAGTCCATTATAACATCTACAAAGACAGCATCTATAAACAGCAACTTAAACAACACACGCACTCTTTTTGCTACTGTAGAGAGACTGACAAACCCCCCAAGCCAGATTCCCAGTGAAATGCTCTCAGACAGCAAGTGCAGTGAGTTTGCTTCTTTCTTCTCTGAGAAAATCAATAATATCAGAAAGGTGATCAGCTCATCCTTGAGTTGCTCTGGGGTCAGACAGATCAGACCACTACCTGAGAAAGTAGTTACTATGTCTGTTTGCGAAGAAATTGATGGCAACATTTTGGAAGAAACCATACAGCACCTTAAAACATCAACCTGCGCCCTTGACGCACTTCCCACATCTTTTTTTTAAAAGTGTGTTAAACAGCTTAGAAGCAGATCTCCTAGAAGTGGTAAATGCCTCACTTCTCTCTGGGAGTTTTCCAAACTCCCTGAAAACTGCAGTTGTCAAGCCCCTCCTGAAAAAGAGCAATCTGGATAAGACCATCTTGAGCAACTATAGACCGATCTCAAATCTTCCTTTCATAGGCAAGATCATTGAAAAAGTTGTCTTCAATCAGCTGAACAAATTCCTAATCTTGAATGGATACTTTGACAATTTTCAATCTGGTTTCCGATCGCATCACAGCACAGAGACAGCGCTCATAAAGATAATAAACGATATTCGCTTAAATACTGATACAGGCAAATTATCAGTGCTGGTACTACTCGACCTCAGTGCTGCATTTGACACTGTTGATCACGACATACTTCTTGACAGGCTGGAAAACTGTGTCGGGCTTTCTGGGACAGTCCTAAAATGGTTCAGGTCATACTTAGAAGGGAGAGGTTATTATGTGAGTATAGGAGACCATACGTCTGAGTGGACATCCATGACATGCGGAGTCCCTCAAGGCTCAATTCTTGCACCACTCCTGTTCAACCTATATATGCTCCCAATGAGCCAAATAATGAGAAAAAAACGAATCTCTTACCACAGCTATGCAGACGACACACAGCTCTACTTAGCCCTATCGCCTAACGACTACAGCCCCATTGACTCCATGTGCCAATGCATTGATGAAGTAAACAGTTGGATGTGCCAAAACTTTCTTCAGTTAAACAAAGACAAAACTGAAGCCATTGTGTTTGGAAACAAAGATGAAGTTCTCAAGGTGAATGCATACCTCGACGCTAGGGGTCTAACAACTAAAAATCAAGTCAGGAATCTGGGTGTGTCTCTAGAGTCAGACCTTAGTTTCAGTAGTCATGTCAAAGCAATAACTAAATCAGCATACTATCATCTGAAAAATATTGCAAGAATTAGATGCTTTGTTTCCAGTCAAGACTTAGAGAAACTTGTGCATGCTTTCATCACCAGCAGGGTGGATTACTGTAATGGACTCCTCACTGGCCTTCCTAAAAAGACCATCAGACAGTTGCAGCTCATACAGAACGCTGCTGCCAGGATTCTGAGCAGGACCAGAAAATATGAACATATCACACCAGTCCTCAGGTCTT